TATATATGTGTGTGTGTGTGTGTGTGTGTATATATATATATACAATTTCTTCTTTACTTTTATCATTTTTTATAATTTTATACGGTAAAAATTAATAAAAGTAAAATATGCACACATCAAAAGTGCACAGTTTATTTCAAATTTGCATTACATAATCAAAATCTGAAATAATTTGGTGAAAATGAAATTAGAAACATTAGCTGCCATTATATATATATATATTGTTTATATATATATATATATAATAGTTTTGGGTGGCTATATGATGTAAATGCATGAACCATGCATGGAGTCAACACGACACGGCTCTCCACTTGACAAATTTTTTGAAATGACAATCGGATGTTTAACAAACAAAACCCGATTAATAGAAACATATATATGTATATATACATATATACATATATATATATATATCTCTCTCTCCCATAAATGAGATTACCTACTTGCACAAGAGAGAGAAACGAACTATACTGTATATTTCAATTAATTATTTACGTATTAAATATCACAACTTTGATTGTAGTTGGAAAGGGTAAATTTGAGCACCCATTTAAAATCAATACTTATAAATTATTGTTAAAAATATAATATGATATTATTATATACGCTATATAACTCATCAAGTTGATTTTCAGATTAATCGAATCGAACACGGCTGATTCAATCTCATACGGGTTATAAGATATGTGTATTAATGTATAGTTCTGTTGCATATATAATATAATGGTGTACAAACGTTCGTATGTATGCATGTATACATATATATATATATGTATATGTATGTATGTTTGAGAAAAAAACAATATGAATGCTCGTTGAAATTAAATACTTCAAATCTAAGCAATCCCACATCTCTAGATTCTCAATATATCATTGAATAAAAATATTCAAGAAAAACATTATAGAAATCTAATCCAAAATACCATGTTCATATGTTTGTATTTTTGTTTTATATAATTCTATAAATAATCCGGTTTAATATATACTAAGTGGGCCAAATCGAATTAAAAATATAAATAATCTGGTTTAATATACATTAAATTAGCCAAATCGAACCGGGAATATAAATAATCTGGTTTAACATATATTAAGTAGGCGAAATCGAGTCGGAAATATAAATAATCTGGTTTAATATACATTAAATTGGCCAAATCGAACCGGAAATATAAATAATCCGGATTAATATATATTAAGTGAGCCAAATCAAATCGGGAATGTAAATAATCCGGTTTAATATCTTTTTGTATTATTATGTAATAAAAGATATTTTTTAAAAAAAATAAAATTGTAATACATATTGCAATTTAGTGTATATATATATATATATATAGATTGGTAGCTTTGAGTTGTCACTATGTCCCCATAAAATTGAAGCTTCTACAACCTTGCCCTACAAAATATGGAATACGTACAACGAATCTTTCTATGTATATCTCCCAAGACTAAAATATATACCTTAAACAAAATACCACTATATATATATATACACACACACACACACATAGATACATATATGCTGGATTTCTTACCAATGCATGGCATCTAAAGTCGTTCTATTTTACTACTATTTTGAATTAAATTTTTGACCCGTTATACTTATTACAACTAAAATTATTTAACGATCATATAATATTTTATTTACTTAAAAATTTAATATTTTCGATAAAATTTAACCTAATTTAATTATTACAACTTCACCGACTTATGGGTAGTACATTAATAAAAAAATGTACACGTCGTATTCTTTTTATCGAGAATTATAATATACAGTTCGATTCGAATTATAATTTCTTACAAAAAAAAAAAGAAAAATACCAACAATTTAAATAAAAATGAATAATATATTATTTAATAAATTATATAGAAGATACGTATTATATTATCACATTAATTTGCAATAGTAGTTAATGAATTAATACCTTTTTTATTAAAAAAAAAGTCGGATAAATTTTTAACCCGTTACACTAATCACAATTAAAGTTATTTAACGATCATATAATATTTTATTTATATACTTTTTCATAAAAATATATAAATTCTATTAATTATTAACATATATACAAATTACAACGTAACTTCTAACTAATACACAATTTAGATAAGAACGAATAATTTATTGTTTAATAAGTTATTTAAAAGATATATATATATATATATCGTATCATTACATCAATTTACAATAGTAGTTAATGAAGTCCGTAATTTTTAACCTTTTATATATGTACAAGCTTTAAAACGAACAACTTTGACGTAGCGAAAGAAAGATGATGTTGGTGTTTGTGGGGCTTGTTTGTTTGGTCCTTTTATGATCAACTCCAAATTTTGAGTCTAATCACGAGTTGGAGAAAACATTCAAACTTTCGAAGACAAAACATTCCACTTCTTAGCGAAACATCGTGCTTCCAAAATTGAACATCTTTTTACAAATCGCGTGTCACCCCAGTTCGTACAATAACCCTATTTTGCTAATTTTAGGGTTAGGATTCGTGTTTCTTCTGATTTATAACGAAATATAGATTTCGAAATAAAACTATAGTAAATCTAAAAAAAAAACGATAAATATAACTTGTTGAAGTATTTAAATAATTTAAACTTATAATATCAGTGAAATCGTTTTTTACGTTTGATCTTACAACTAATTTTACTTCTGACTCGAAAAAAAACCGTAATCATTTTTTTTTTATCGAAATGTGAAAAAGTATAACGATAAATTTACTTAATCGTTTCGTTTTTACGAATTTTAGAATCTTAAATATTATACAATCACATAAACAACGTAAATATATTTATGATTGTTGTAATAAAAAAAAAGCAAAAGTAGAATAATTAATTAATTCACAAAATTATGGTGTTATGAACAAGAGATCAACAAGGAATGAGATCAATGAACCATCTAATTACATTTACAGGAAGCTTCATAAGAGTCACTGCTAAATTTGCAACTTCTGCACAGCATATCCAGCACAGACCTGCATGCCAACTTTCAATGTTAATCCAAAATTTACTTACTATATATATATATATATATATATATATATATGTATGTGTGTATATATACACACATACATACCCACAATTATATGCAATGGACAGTAACATGGGAGAGCAATCGGACGCTCAAAAAGAATAGGATTAAAAAGGGAAGTCAGCAGATATGAAACAGATGCTAATTTTAAAGAACTTGTTCTAGCTCGAACATGAAGATTTGGGTTCTAATAGAATTTCATCAAGAACAGGATCACGAGGAATAGTGTTGTTTGCATGGAGAAATTAATGGCAGAGAAATGAAACTCACCCAAGAAACCAAGCAAGAACACCAACAATGGATAAAGCCAAAGCAAGCAAAGGAAAAGGAAGCCCTAATAAGAACCCTAATGGCCTGGCAATTTGCCATGATTCTTTTGCTAATTTGCTTACCCCTGCAGCTTTTTACTATGGTGCCCAGAGTGTTAATTCTGATGAGAATTAATATTATTATAGTTTAATCTTTATAATCATATAATTAAATTTTAAATACTGATAACTTATTCAGTTTTAGCCAATTATGTTATTATATAATAGTTAATAACATAATTAAAATTATATATATATATATATGTGTGTGTGTATAAGAAGATGGTAACGCCAACCAAAATAACTGGCAACTCTAGAAACTGAAAATATATGAATATGCAACAATGAAATTTTGTTCTTCAGTTTTTTACAGTAAGAACATGGAGAACAACTCCCAAGTCTGATTCACTCTCGTTGCTTTCTTCCTCTTTGCTTTCTCTTACCAAACATTTATCCTCAATGTAACTGCACATGATACCTTGATTCAAAAGCTATGCAGCAAAAGCCAAAAACCCGTCTACCCGTGCAGCCTGTCTGCACCGCAATCCAGCAGCAAAGACCGGTAGAGACATGGCGTTTCAGTCATTAAGTTGCGGAAAATCTGATGCAGATGTGGCGTACGAGTTCACAAACAATCTGGCAAATACCTTATCGAGATCAAGCGTTTTGTGGGGACTTGTTTCGAATTGTGCAACGAAGATGAAAGCAGCGAGTAACGATTTCGTGCTTGCTGGATATCGCGCGGAGAAAGGAGCTTATGATCTTGCGAAAAAGTTTACGGATAATCTCGAGATTCTATACGACGAGTGCTTGGATTTCTTTTATAAAAATCCGAGATTGCCTCTTCCTCATGAAATGGAAATTGGAGTAAGGAGGGTGCGGACAGATTCTGATTTTGTTGTTGCAATTCTTAGCAATATATGAGACAGAGTGAGAGGATCTGCTACCATGCATGCATGAATAATAAGCTTCTGTTTTCTTTTCATAGTGTATTTTACTGAGTTTTTTTTTTAAGAATAACCAGGGTTACAAAGATTTAGGGTCTAATGACAAACATGCATTACAGAATTATAATAGATAATATATTTTTCTAATTAGTTGTGTCGGTCGAATTAAATTGTGCGAAAGTACGAACATGGGCGAAACGAGGAAGAGATGAAGGCGAAAAAAGAAAAGGAAAGCCCAAAAGGGGATGTCTTTAGCATTTTGTTTACATTTCCAATTCGAGCAAAGTCCTAAAAGTACCTGCTCAAACCTAAAAAAGCCAACTAATGATAGCATATTAGACATATGAAACATCCCATCTACATACACCATCCACAAAATAAAGATATTACTACAGCAATAGCATATTACCATAAAGATTAGAACAAAACCATCACAGTCTGAAGTACTTTGAAGCTATACCTGTAATCTCGAAACATATGATCCTCGGTTTCACTCCTCCACAACATTCACCAGCTCGTATTCAACCAGAGAGAGATTGTTATCTTCCTTCACTACAAATTTTGCAGGTTCTGTTACCTCGACTCGGCCCCATTTGTCAACTGCTAGACGCATTGATCCCTTAAACATGTCAATCTTCGCATTGCGGAGTATCACAGTTGTATTAGGCATCATTAAATCAACTGAACAGACAGCAACATAATCAGTATCAGCCATTATGGTGAAACAGAAAAACCTGGAACTTTGTGTGTGCTAGCGGTTCCAACAACCACATTGAGCTTCCACAATGCTGTGATAACATTTCATGTCGGTGAGCAAATTGAAATCAAGTAATGAAAATGGCAATATATGTAAACAAGTATGTCTGTATGTATCATCTAACGACACAGAAATCATAATTTCACCCCAATTCTAAACTCTGCAGCACAATGGCTATAAGCAAATAGTTAAGTGTCTAATCCAAGAAAAAAAAAGTACCGTTGGAACTCAAGCACAAGATCTTATAGAAGATTAAAACAAAAGTTAGACGAAAGTTTACATCTATATGCTGTTTTCCTTGGATGATAGTGTAACAAGAAACTATCAGGAAAACCATCAATCTCATTCTTATTCCATACAAGAGACTAAAGCCCAAATTATTATTTGCAGAGAAAAAAGAGAAACATAATAGAAAAAGAGGGAAATAGCAGACACAAATGAAGTAGATTAAGATTATAGTCGGTACTCAAATGATTCAGTACAAACTTGACACGGTATTGAAAAGATCACGGAAAGGGAAAACATTGAAAGAAAAAAAAGTGTAAGTTCTTTAAGAGAGAGATAAAGAGAGGTTAAAAGATCAGTATATGAAACGAGAAAGCAGTTGGATTAAGACTGGCTTAAAGCATTGTAAGAATCATGACTAAAACAAAGAATAGATTAAGAACATGTCCAACTTGTCATCTGCATACCAAAAGATATCTTTAGATAGATCACAGCAAAAAGAGAAAAAAAAAGGAAAAGATTAGTGAAAACTTTCTGTTCACTAAATAATTATAAGGGGAAATACATACTGCCCTTAGTTTTGGCTATAGCTAACTTTCCAGAGTACCAAATCTAAAAAGTGAATAAACAGAAGAGTATTATTTGTTACATTCTTTGAAATTTGCAGTAACTAAAATAACACCAATTGCACTAGATGTAGCAACCAAAAAGGAAAAGAAACATAAAATTCAAGTTCGTGATAGAGGTAATTCTTTTTGATAGACAAGACAAAAAGTTATGTGAAGACAACTATTAACAAACTTGCATTTACTTTTGTTAACAAGGTTGACCTGCAAAAGAATTGACGCTTCTCAACAGCCATACGCTTCTTATTTAATCTTACTGTCCGGATGGCATCACAGGCAGCTAAAAAAGCCAGCTGGTAAGCATAAGGAACACACCAAGTGCAGCAAGTTTTCTGGAGATAAGGAGCACTTAACAAAAGTGCAAAACTTAAAGATCCACCTATACATTTTTATGCTCTTTCATTATCATGAACATCTATGATGCATAACGATTAAACGGGTGACAAAAAACACCACAAGGAACTTCCTGGTAACAACTTTGCTGGTCAGAAACAAGCAAGCAATGCACTACTCGCATATAACAAAAAGACAACGGCGATAAGATACATTAAATTCTTCAAAAAATAAGCAAAAGAATACAAGTCATTTACAAACAGGAGTTTGATATCCTAATCAATGTGCATAACAGAGGAAACAGAGATTATGAAACAACTTGATCTAGTTCAGTTCATTTATTATTCATAACAAAACTAAACAAAAGAAATGAAACAGATAATGTCAGTAAGGCTTCTATTTAATTTCTTTTTATTATTTGCAACAAAACCAAATTCCAGTCATAGAACAAACTTTTATGGCAAGAACAGAGAGCCAGCCATTTAAAAAAAAAGCATATGCTACATAAAGTAAACTCGGTTCATCAATTCAAGGTTTCAATTTTTCACAACCAATAAGTAAAGCTCTACAGAGCTTATAGATGTATCTTTATATACGGATTGCAACTTCTTGGTGCTTCATATTACATTTTTTTTCCTTCCCAAAGAAAAGTAAAACTCCATAGAGAACAATTTCCTCTCTTCATTTCATGCTGCAAAGATCTTTCCTAATGGCACTCCACAATAAAGGTGATACTTCCAACTTGATTTCACAAAACCAACAGTGGCTTCAATATTGCATTAATGATACACCTTGACCCATCCAAGGCAAGTTCTTATGAATTATCTCTAGACAGCTAAATCACACTGAAAACCTATTCCTATTTCTTTCTTTTATAATTTAAAAGGGAGCATGGGAAAGCAAAGGTGAAAACTTCATCAGTGGATGCAAAAATTGAAGAAGTTTACAAGTTAACCACTTTTCCTGTTCTTGAGGTTGAAGGACAGACTCAGGAAGAAATACAACAAGGGTGGAAGACAACAATTGGAGATAGAAATGGACTCAGGAAAAGGCAATGATTAAAGAATACAATGGAAAGAGATAAAGATTTCCAACAATATTGATGCTTTAGTTTGTTGCTTTCAACTTTGTGATGGCTTTTTCTTGAACTGATTTTAGTACCCCTACCTAGGAGCATTTTTTAGCACTGCTACCTTCCTTACAACTCTCCTGCATCCCTCCATAAAAAGACAATTTTTTAATCACTTCATGCAAAGATGTGCAGCATCCAACCTTAACATTGTAAATAATAACTGTTTCCTAATTTTCCTCTGTTTTTCTTGGAACTTGAAGCAATATAATAACCTTAGAAAACAATAATCAATATAAGAACTTGATAATTCTTTCGTCACGTACTTAATCATAGTAAATTTTTGCACAAAAAAGGAAACATTTTTCACAGTCCCGCATCCTACCCACCTACTCACTCCCAACTCCCCGGTGGAGACTAACAGATAACAAGTCAAGTACACTGCTAACTACAATTCAATATGAACTCCAACAAAAGATTACCCTCTTCATTTCTCACTTTCCCTCCTATTCCTCAAAAACATATAGAATACACCCGTAAATAGAAACGACTGGATTAATATCAAATATAAATAAACATTTATCGACCAATGCACTTCGAATTACAGAGCCGAAATGAGTAAGTACTTGAACATGGAAAACAAGCGCCTTTTCCCTCCATTTCCATTAATCCAAACATAGTAAGTCCATCCATGCCAAATAACATGCATGATTAAACTGTGTCAGAAAAGCAGGCACGTGCGGGAAATAAAATGCGAAATATATGATAACGTATAAAACCTTGTTCGTTACGAGCGGTAAAGACGATTGTGCCGGTCTCATCGCCGACAAGGCACTCGGCGATTCGGGTCTGACGAAGGTGCTGCGACACCGATCGGCCCTTCTGCAGCACGGTCTTGGACTCGAGCACCTTCACGGTGAGAGTATGTCCGCTAGTACCCGGCTTGAGCTGGTCTACCGTAATGAAAACGGGCTTCCTCAATCCTGGCTTTGCATTGTCGCCTTGCTGCTGTTGCTGCGGTGCTGTTGTCGCCATTTGATAGTGATCGATTGAAGACAGAGAAACACGCAAAACCCAAACCCTAGCAACGATAATCCCCGACCACAGCACGAAAGGAAATGGTAATGACCCACTTAGCTTATTCTCTTCTTCCTTTTTCCCCCCCTTGCTTTTCTGCCTTCTAATCCTCGGTCTGGATTGATTTATAAAAAAAGTTTGAGTTTTGATTATTCGTTACGCTACAAACTTTACTAATTCGACTTTTGAGTTTCTCTGGTTAAAAATAACAGGGTGCTTCTGTAAATTACATAGTAGTTCCCGAGAAAAAGTTAATACTTTTGATTCTTTTAATAATAAAAATTTGACCTTTGAGGATCCTGTCCATTGAGATATCTCTCATACATGCAGCTATACTTTATTATCTAATTATATATCATAATTATTTTAAATTATTCATTACCTTTATATTTATGATCGGTTCTCTCTTTTGTTTATCAAGTTCTTTACGAGTTCTCTTGGTATGGTAAAGTACAGTCGTTACAGCGAGACTCAAAATATATAAAATATTGAATGCTTCACTTTAACAATTAAATGTTGACATAGTTTATACATCATCAACAATTTGTTAATGGGTTAATATAAAATCAACAAAAGCGAAAGAAAAGTTAATATTGGAATTATATCAAACCGAATAGATGAAAGAACATACGTAAGTCTACAAGAATATAGATAAAAGAACATATGTAAGTCTACAGGAATATGTTAAAGTTTAACGTACCCATCAAATATTATCTTCAAAATATTCATGCGGAATTCGAATGACCCAAATCGACCTACTAAGAGTTTTGATTTAGTTTTCTTCGTTTATAAACACTAAACTACTCTCGTCTTTATTTTGAAGACACTATTTAATAATAAAGAAAAATTTCGAAAGTAAACTTTATGATACTTTATGTCCAAACAAACTTAAGGTTTTCAAATATTATATAGATTTCGAGTAATATCATATTACTACTATTAAAATTACACATAAAAATCAAACAACCAAATGACTACAGTTATTATTTATGAAACTACTAATTATTGTATTTTTAATATTATCAAATGCATAACTATCAATATCGAATTTGAACCAACTTAAGAGATATATTCTTAAGCTAATCCGAAAAAAAAAAAATGAGAGGAACTCTTTAAACTAATATAAC